TCTGTTAGAAAAGATGCAAACCATTTTCTTGTTTCAACTGATATGCCATAATACGCCATTTTTGCCAATAAAAGATCAAGGTTTATAGAATCAAATGCTCTTGAGAAATCGAGCAAAATCAATAATGTGTTCTCTCCTACATCAGACGCGGCTATTATATCATCTGTTACCTGAGCCAAAGCAGTTGCCGTACCGTAACCACGCCGAAAACCAGACTGAATACTAGGCAAGATTCTCTCTTTCTCCATATAATCGGTTAATTGTCCACAAACAACTTTTTCAATCAATTTTGACAAAATGGGAAGAATACTAATGGGCCGCAAATCCTTATATGACTCTATTTTATTACTTTTAGGTAATGGCATAACCTTAGCAAGCTTCCACAAATCAGGATATACTTTAGTTCGTATTGATGTATTAACAATATCGGTAATAGCATCTAACGTGTGTGGTAGGGTCATACGTAACATTTGAATTGTAATAGTGTCGTGTCCCGATGTTTGTGTTTCAATGCTCTTTAAATATTTTAAAATTTCATCACTACTACATTCACGCAGTTCGATATTTCCATTCCCATATTTATTACTTGAGTAATAATTATACATATCATTATCTATATAGGAAGTACCTGGAATATCTAAAAAAAAGTTGTTGATATTATTAGGATCTCTAAGATTTTGAGGAATTTCTGGTAGAGAAGAACCTCCTACAGTTGAGGATCGCTTTAAGTATTTCCACATTTTTTGTGGATTTTTTAGGTTATTATTGACATAGTACTCAAAAAAAGCTTTCTTTTCTCTGTCAATAGATTTATTTGTTAGATTACGTAGATCTTTGTAGTATTTCCAGTGAGATTCTGAGTTAGTGAGACGAGCTCTTTTTAAGGCAACATCGCGTAGAGACATCATTTTCCTTATTGTGCCCGTGAGCCAAGGGCTAGGCTTATCTTTAATATACATACGACGTAAAGGAGCATGCCTATTAAATAAATCTGTAATTCTTTTGTTAAATACCTCTACCATGTTATTTATACTTAAATTTTCCATTTCTTTTAGCCAGTCTATAGAGCTAAGATCTGTTAAAAAATCCTTTTCATTTATGTGTTGTAAAGAGCGTCTAGTTAAGTATCTTTTTGAGATTTTAGGTTTCTTAAAATAAAATTCAGAAACAATCATAGCGTGATCACTGAGAATTGGATTATGATGGACTTTAATATTCTTACATAAATGAGCAGAATCGGTTATCACCAGGTCTAAGAGTGACGAAGATTGTTCAGTGACTCGAGTTGGTTCGGTGACTATTTGTTGTAGATTTTGTTGCGATAGTAGAGTAAGTAATTCATTCGCTGATTTCTTATTGGGTTGCAAAAGATCTATGTTAAAATCGGTGAGTAAGAAAATGTGATTACAATACGAAAATGCACTTACAGATTCGCTGAGGGCATCCATGGCTATTGGTATGGAGATAGCCTCGGTTCTGTAGATTGTACCAATAGCTATTTGCAGTCCTCCAGGTAATGATAGTTCCAACCACAGTTGTTCGATTGAAGCCGAAGGATGCGGGCGTATCCGAGCACGTAGTTCATTTCTTACAAAGAAGCCCACACCGCCACCTCTTTTACCTCCAGTTCGTGACGCATGTTTTAGTGTGTATCCCGGGATAACCGGAGCACAAGTCTCCTCGCCCTCTCTTAACCACGTTTCGTTTAGGGCTAAAATATCCGGAGTGTACCTATCTATAGAATACTTTAATTCGTCAACACCTGTATTAATTGATCTAATATTTAATAGTCCCAAAATTAAACTATTAACTTTGCCTTTAAGCTCTGTAAAAAACTAAAAATACTCTAGGTAATTCAATCCTAAAAAACCGCTTGATACTGTCACTGTGAAATACTAAATAAACATGATTCTTAGTGCTAGATAGAGAATTATAAATGGTGTCTGTATATAAACAAAATAAACTTGCTAACCTAATAGATGTGGAGTATAGAGTCAATGATAACAAGAAACAAAATAATAACAAGATTAAGGTGTACCGGTAGACCCGGTACCGCCAAAAATCTTTGCGACGTCCTCCATCTTTCTCAGATGGTAAAATTGTTTTCCTTCTCTTTCGCGAACATATATTTTTCCGTTTTTTGACCAAATAAATTTCCAATTTCGTTTCCTCCCTTCATCTTTCGCTTTACCGAATATCATCTTATTTCTTTTAGTTAACCTTTCATTAATATATATTGGTTTCACTTCACCTGGAAAAACATCAGCCGTTGAGATAGAGCGGCGCACACGCGCCTCTTTCAAAACACGCTCTTTGATTGAACGACGTGTAAAGCGTATCACGATGGGTCGCGGACGTATTTCATTTTTCTCGTTAACTAGGAGTCGACGCGGACCACCACGATACATATCCACAATTTCCTCGTTCATGAATGACATGCCTATTTTAGAAGAAACTAATGTTACTAAATTCAGTAGGTTTTCATCAGCTCGCTCTGGTATCCCCACTATTTCAATATCATTCGCCATCATCTCTTGGTCTCTATCGTTTAGTTCCTGTTGTAATTGCAATACAGTTGACTCCAATTCAGAGACGTTTCTATTTTCGGCTTCAAGTAACACAAGGCGTCCCTCTATATTTTCTACGTTTTCACACACTAAAGCAATTTTTTTATTGCAAGATAGCATGTCTTCTCTCAACGTTAGTATGTCATTGCGCAACTGTGACATTTCATTTCTGACTGTCTGAAGATCTTTTCGAAATGCACGCATTTCAGATAATAACTCGGACTCGATGCTATTTACATCAGGTGATGTTAGTTCGGTCTGTCCCACTTCAGCAAAGGTACCTGTTTGTATTGAATCTAAATCGGGAGATGATTCTACATTAATATTCTTGACAGGAGTATTCGTATTATCCTGTCTGGGTTGCTTCACCGTGCAATGATTTAATGGAAAATACATAAGGTACAATTTTTTAATGGAAAATAAAGCAATGGTACCCCCCCCCCCCACCTCTCTACACTAACGGATGTAAAGGCAGGTCAGTTAGCTTACCGTGATGAATACACCGGGAGCTCAGCACGATAGTTTCTAAGGGGCATCACGGAAAGATGGATCTGACAGGGTACATTGCTAGCAATGCGGTAGTATTCCACATTACTAACAATTCTTTCCTTTCCCCTAAACAAAATTGTTAAATGTGAAATTACAACGGGAGTAAATCTTTTCAATTAAAAAAAGAACCATCAAAATTAATTCTGTATTATCCAACACAGGTGAAACATAATTTAACATTCTTTTAAGAGTATTAATTTTTTTATGCAACTTAGAATGGTAAACAAGTATGCAGCCCGCCTGATGGAAAATGGTAACCGTCTATAGACATGAGCAGTACCATGGACATAACAGAGTATACTGTTTCGCCCATGATACCCCCCATGCGTCGCCATTCTTGAGGACTCACTGCCATATTCCACCCTTCAAACCGAAACACAGCCATGCAAACACAACTGCTTCAAGGTAGAAACACGAATGAGACAGAGGTCAAAATTTTATTTTTTATTTCAAAGGAAATGTTTGAAAAATCTGCGCAAAGTCGGAGTGGCCAGTTAGTTAAATATACGATAAATTTTATTATTAAATTTAATTTTTATTATGTATTAACATTAGCATGTCCCCAAGTGTATCGATATTTTATTCCGTGCTATAGCAGCCTGTTCGATGCACGACGTGATCATTATCAATAAATTCGGATAGTTTATTCTTTGTCAACCGACTTCAGAAAAGGAGGTTCCGATTTCTGTCGTATTTTTTTTCTCTTTTACATTTGTTACCTCATAACTTCGTCAGTTTTAAACCGATTCGGACAATTCTTTTTTTTTCTAAAAGTATATGCTTACATACTCGTAACGTATTATTTCTATAAAAAAATTATGAAAATCGATGCAGTAGTTTAGTTTATAGATGAAAATAACTGGTTTTGTCACACTTGAAGATTTTTTTTTGTGGAACACAGTTTTTAATTATTATTTTACTATTTTATTATTATAATAATATTGTTGACACTAATCAAACCTACTAATACGTATTAAAATTAAATGATATATATATATATATATATATATATATATATATATATATATATATATATATATATATATATATATATATATATATATATATATATTCAACTTAGAATTGCATACAAGCTGACTGCCCACCTGATGGAAAGTTGTAACCGTCGCCTATAAACATGAGCAGTACCATGGACATAACAGAGTATACTGTTTCGCCCATGATACCCCCCATGCGTCGCCATTCTTGAGGACTCACTGCCATATTCCACCATTCAAACCGAAACACAGCCATGCAAACACAACTGCTTCACGGTTGAAACACGAATGGGACAGAGGTACCCAAGCAATCGACTTCTGTACAAAGTCTCCCTCTATTAATTGATATGAAACTGTATTTGACGTAGGTTTTTTTTTTTAAAGAATTGTTAACATTGTACATTTAATATTTATGTATTTTAAATTGTGCATGTCTAATTGTGGCGAAATATGTGGACTTATTATTATTACCATGTTTCTTGCAAACAAATATTTATTCATTTATTTGTTAAATTACTTTAATTAAAAAATGAAATAAATATGCTCGGAATTGTAATTCAAAATGGGGTGGTTAGAAGCATTTGTAAAGTATGGCAATGTGGTGGAAGTAACACTCGACATGCCTATATAATATGAAACAAAATATGTAAAAAACTGAATAAATAAAAATTAAAACAAAACATTTCTGTTTTACAATGTGACATAATGTTGTATGAAAAAACTTCCATACATTGAATGGAAGAGATATCCTTTAGAGATAAGTTCACCTTTGTTTACATTATTTATAATTATTATTGTCACTGTATGTTTCAATAAAGAATATTTAAGAAATAAAATAAATAAAACATTTCAAATTTTAATTACAATATATTTAAATGGCACCAGGTTTTTTTTTATAAAATCTACAATGACGATTTCTCTTCTAAATTTTTCAATACTGCAATTTTTTTATGTCGCCGCAGAATCCTGTTAAAATATAAATTAATGACTCTCAGTAAAGTTAATTTTTTTACACACTCAACAAACACCAACAACTCAATCCATTTAAAAAAGGAATCATGAATATCGCCCAGGAAATCTTTGAGAAATGGCTGTGAAGAAGATACGCGCCCAATTTCTTTCTCTTTTTTGTAATTCGCTTTGATATCCTATTAATTACATTTATAGTAAATGCGGATGTTTGTAGCGATCCCTCTAGGGATAGACAGATGTTTGTTACTCTTTCACCCAAAAACTACTAAACAAATTTCAATGAAATTTAGTACATCATTAGGTGTTATCCTAACTTAGAACATAGACTACATTATAGGTATAATGTATTACGTGGATGAAGCCGCAGGATACAAGCAAGTTTATAAAACAATAATACAAAATAATGTACAAATATAAAATACTGACAAAAACGGGGCCAATATGGAAGTAATTCCTTTCGATTAGAAGGATTCAGTAATAACATTTGCAACGAACGAAAATGTCTCTTTGGGTACACATACACAAAAAATATATTCAAATTGTGAAACCTCTTTTCTCGGCTTTCAGTCGATAAACATACCCACAAAAATACAGTCAAACTACATACCTCTCTTTTAAAACCGGTTAGAAATCAAGCGATGCTTACCATCCCTGATGACACATCAGATTCGACAGAACACCTGCATACGAACACACAACTGCCTCTTCTGTATCTCCACTGAAATCACTAACGACTGTAGTTATCAAATCATTGACACTGATTGATTCGTCATTATTATCTTCTTTTACAGATTTTTCAGGAGTCTCTCTATGTTCAGATTGTTCATTATCATCACATATTACTATTTTAGTATCTTCAGAATTGTTTTTGTCTTTAGAATTTTCATCATTCTTAGAGGTTGTTGGTATTTTGTCGGATATTTGAAACATAGTGGTTTTGGAATTCTTTTCACCTTCAGTGCCTTTATCATTATGAGCAATTTCATCGTATATTTTGGTATCAGTTACTTTCAGAATTTTAATAGTTTTATTACCATCTTCAGGAATTGTTGGGGATTTCTTCTGATGATTCATCATTGGCATCATTTTGGAATCTTCAAGGTTCTTCTCAGCTTTAGTAGCTTCATCATGTGGAATTTTATTGGGTATTTTGGCATCAGTTGTAGATGTAACACCACCTTCAGGAATTTGTGAAGCATCAACTGCAGGATGTGCAAAGGTGTAGGTAAGGTAGGCCAGAAGGTAGATAATACTTGACTTCATTTTCCTAATATTACTATATAAGGAATGACCTACTGACAACTCATTTGTCTCTTTTATAAATGTTGTATGATTCATATATGAGTCGTGAGGCTAGTGTAAATTTTTGAGCGAATTTAAAAAACAGGAGTTCTGCCTACTTTTAAAGAGTTGTGCTTTAAAAGCCTATATTTTATATGGCTTTTGGGATAATCGGGCGCTAAGATGGAAATACCGAGAAAACCACCCACAAAAACCCCACAAAGTTTCGATTCAATCCATCGAGCCGTTTTTTTGTTTTATTCGATCAAATTTTTTAAAAGAATTAAAGGATCACGATTTTGATTTTAAATGATCATAATCTAAGCTAAAAGCCACCAAAAGCCCTTTTTTTCTTGATTTTTCAAATTAATGTAAAGAATTAAAAAATTTTTTTTTTGAAAAACCGTTGCTGATTTTTGTCGAAAATTTATTCTAGATTTCAAAACCCTCTTTAATTTCCTTGTGTGATCAGCGGTTGCTGAGATATTGATGGTTAAAGACAAAAAGATCCTTTTTCATTCAAAGTTCGATATCTCAGTGAAAAGTAGTCATATTGAACTTTGCAAAAAAGCAAATCAAAGCTAAATAAACAAGCTATCCGATCCATATAGTGGTTAAGTTAGAAAATTTATTTTCGAGTTTGTAGACCAAAAAAGAACCAAAAAAGTTTTGAAAAATTTTCGTTTTGGTATTCATTAGGATTGAGCAGAACACGTTGCTTAAAATTTTTTTTCATCATAAGATCTCAAAACTAGAAACTTTGAGCTTTAAAATACTTTTTTTAAAATTCCAATACGACCATTTTTAAAGGAAAACCTCAAAAAATTTGGCATTTTTTTTTCTGATCCCTTAATTTTTTCCACTAGTGTAGAATTTTAAATTCCTTTTTATTTATTTTACAGGATCATATTAAGATTAATAGCATTCTAGTTAATGGAATGTTTTATCAGTGAAACTGAATCTTTTTTTTCTCGAACTGACTTGAAAAGGAAAAGAAAAAAAATCAATCTCCCGTATTAATACGGCTTGTTCAGCTGTCGTGTTAGTCAATCAAGGTTTATGCCAACTCGGAATCACCGAAATGAACATTACAGAATATACTATCTATATTGTTAAACATTTGCACGCCGACATAGAGACGGAATGTATATGGGACAAGTAAACTAAAACTTCACCTAAAATTTTTTTTATACAACTTAAAATGGCATAAAAGCGGCCCACCTGATGAAAAGTTGTAACTGTCGCTTATAGACATGAACAGTACCATGGACATAACAGAGTATACTGTTTCGTCCATGATACTCCCCATGCGTTGCCATTCCTAAGAACTCTGGTGTTATTCCTCTGTACCCTGTAAATTCACGTCATACCCCACCCTTCAAACCGAAACACAGCCATGCAAACACAACTGTTTCACGGTTGAAACAGGAATGGGACAGAGCTCAAGCAAACGACTCTTGTACAAAGTCTCCCTCTGGTGAAAAGAAGAAAATTACTTACATTCTAGCAAAATAAATTAATCTCATTTCATTTCACTAACAGCTTTTTTACTTTTCGCACATTGTTATTCCAGAAGACTAGTTGTAAAAACAGTACTAAGCTCTCATACTATATTGCATTATTAAGCTATTTTGTCTATATATCTCGCATACCAATTAGTTATTATCTCATATTTGTATCTGGTCTCGTTGGAGTGAGTAATTTTTATTATCCATTGTACAAAAACCAGTTTTTAATTAATATCCAGACGACATTCTAGCGGTAGGAATCTCTCGTTCTGGAATTTCTAACAATTTTCCTCGTGCTAGTTTCTATTTCACATTTACATTTCATACCTGAGAAAATAATTGTATAATCTTTAAGCAACATTATTTAATGCCGCTTAAAACATCTCTAATAGCCTAACTGCGGTTGCCAAACTGCCTGCCAAGCGTGGCAATTACTGGCAAAACTCCTCTTACGGGGAAGGCTTATGAATGAATGAATGAATGTGTGTACTTTATTTGCATTATACAATATAGGGGAAAAACAATACAATTAATAAATATAACGATACAATTGTATAAGTACAGTAAGGCGGTCTTGTTGCTGAGAGCAATCTTTTCAAGACAACCTTATGTTCAGCAGTGGACAGTTAACGGCTGAAACAATATTAAAAACAATATTTAAGAATAAAACTTGCATTTTGTTTGTATTTTTTATTTTTTTTTTTGTCATGTGGTTACATCACCTATAAACCCACCTGTTTCGGTTTTTGAAAAATATTTCATGATTTCTCGTAATTGTTTGTATCTATAATAAGTTTACTATTGTAATCTTTTGGAGGAAACAATAAAGTGTATCTATCTATCTATTTTAAAGACTTTTTGGAGAACACTAAGCCGTAATCATTTGGTAAAACCTCTGCAGGAACTTCATTCCGTAACCTGAATGTTAGCAGAAAAAATATCTTTTTTGTTATTACCAGAGGGAGACTTTGTACAAAAGTCATTTGCTTGGTTGGGTACCTCTGTTTCATTCGTGTTTCAACCGTGAAGCAGTTGTGTTTGCATGGCTGTGTTTTGGTTTGAAGGGTGGGATATGGCGTGCATTTACAGGGTAGAGAGGAATAACACCTGAGTCCTCAAGAATGGCAACGCATGGGGGGTATCATGGGCGAAATGGTATACTCTGTTATGTCCATTGTACTGCTCATATCTATAGGCGACGGTTACCATTTTCCATCAGGTGGGCCGTCAGCTAGTTTGCCATTCTAAGTTGTATAAAAAAAATCGTATCACTACCTTATTCTATCTTTTAAACTAAATCTCATCCTTTGTAAGCATAGCTGGTTTACAGTAACAATAAAAGTAGGTCAGAAGTACCCGAGAAGACGGCTTTAGTATACAGTTTTTGATAAGATGGAAATAAGGGTTTCCTTTTTTTATCGTTTTCAATGCAGATCTCTAAAAATCAACAATCACAACTGTACCATTCGAGAAATGATAAATTAATAAGACAGTTCATAAATAATCAATGCGTTCAAACGAGATTCTTATAACGAGATCTTTGCGAGCAAAATTGATTGTTTGATTTGTTATTCATTGGCCGGATCTAATGCGGATCCGAATATCTGTTGAAATGACAATGGGATGTGGTATGGAAATTACGGGGTACGGGGGCATAACACCATAGTCTTATAGATATGGAAAAAATATGGGATACCACAGGCGTCACAGTGTATGCCAATGGTAACCCTCTAGCTGAATGTTTAATTCATCAGCATCGTTATATAAGCCGTTAACTGCCCGCTGCTGAACTTAAACTTCCCCCTTTTGGTGGGTTTTATCAGTAGAGGCCACGCTTACCCTTAAAGAGGGACGCTGCTGTCCATCCCTCGCCTGAGCCGTACCATGGGCATAACAGAGTATGTTATGCCCATGGTACGACTCAGGCTACGGTTACAACTTTCCATCAAGTGGGCCGTTAGCTTGTTTGCCATACTAAGTTGCATAAAAAAAAATTGAGTAAAAAATATAAAAAAATAACATCGTCCATAACGTAACATATCCACCCATACCGGTCATATATCTATATTTATTTTCAGTAGGTGTATTTTTCAGTTTAACCTTACAGTATAATTTCTCCCTTATACAAAGTAATTTAATACATTAATGGCAACCCTATTCACGCACACATTGATAAAAAAGTTGACTTGTTTTTACTGGCGCATTTGTGTGGAGACAATCGTCTTATATAATGTAAGTCGCTTGAAAAAATAATGATTACCATAACTTGTAGGATAATCCGCTACTTTTACATTCTAGCCTACAATATAAGGTAAAGTCTGCGTTCACCTGTTCTGTCCAATTGAAATATGATAGATATAACTTACGTGCCACAATTTATTCCCCATTGTACCCGATACTAGAACCTTCCACGGATTTATTCGAGTACCTGGCACATACTTTTATTTATGGAGGCTGGATGCTGGAGCTATTTTTGTTATCGCTTTTATTGCCTTGAGAAGTGTTTCTCAAAGTTTTTTTTTATATGTATATATTTATTTATTGGTATATATTTATGTGTGCCAGGCGGACTTAATGATTAATTCATTCTCTGACTGGGAGAGACCTTAGGAAAGTGTTAGGGAATATTGGGATGCGGTACTAGTAATAATTGGTATACATATATACTATTTTTTTTTATTTATTTATTTACATTTCAATGCACCATTAAGTATTTACTACTAAAATATGTATAAATATTGTCACTATATACTACACACACACACACACACACACACACACACACACAGTCATAATACTAATGATGATAGATTATAACAGCAGATCCAAATTTTTTTTTTCGTGGAACACAGTTTTTAATTGTTATTTTAGTATTTTATTATTATAACAATATTGTTGACACTAATCAGACCTACTAATACGTATTAAAATTAAATAAAGTATATTAATTGATATAAAATTTTGTTGACGTTAGTTTTTTTTTTATTAGAATTGTATAATTTTAATATTTAAGTATTTTAAATTTTGCATTCCTAATTGTGGCGAAATATGTGTGTATGTGTATGTATATTATTTGAACACCTATATACTTACTATGTTTCTTGCAAATAAATATTCATTTATTGAATTACTTTAATTAAAAAATAAAATAAATATGCTCGGAATTGTAATTCATAATGGGGTGGTTAGAAGCATTTGTGAAGTGTGGCAATGTGGTGGAAGTAACACTCGACATGCCTGTATAATATGAAACAAAATATGTAAAAAAAAAAAAAACATTTCTGTTTGACAATACTGCTGCCGGATCTATTTTCTATGTCACTGTATTAGGTTTTTTTAATGGGTGAAAATGGCATGGCAACCCCGCCTGCGCTATCGGTATACACCGACGAGGCACCAGTGAGGGATGATAGGTGAGAATGAAAAGGCAGGTCAGTTAGCCCACTGTGACCAATTCAAGTCACGATAGTTTCCAGGGGGAACCGCGCGGAGGTCGACCTGATAGGGTATATTGATAGCAATGGGGACTGTATTAGGTTGAATGGAAGAGATCTCCTTTCGAGATAAGTTCACCTTTGTATTACATTGTTTCTAATTGTTATCATTACCATTTTCGTTTTAGTGCAATAAAGAATATTAAAGAAATAAAATAAATAAAACAT